TYGYRRYTYCGCCTGTTGAGTGGCGTCTAGATGAGGTAACAGCGGAGGCAGTAGAAGATGCTTCCCCTGTCCTATTGGAAGCTTGCTCGTGGCCCACAGGTGGTGAACCATTGCTGGGTGCCGGGGCCGAGGAGGCCTCCGAAGGACCAGCCTGGTTCACGATCCTCTGCGCTTGGGCGAACTGGAGCTGCTGCTGGCCCGGGAGATCAAGAGATCTCCTCTTCTTGCGCTGAGATCCCTGCCCCTCCTGCTGCATGGCCTTTCTCGCCGTTTTCTCGGGTAGAGCCAACTTGGTCAAGGCGCGGGGAAAAGGATTCGCCATGAGGTGCCGGTTCAACAATTGGTCCGAATTGCAATTCGGGTTGCGCAGCAATGCCTGTGAAGCCAACATCATAAAGTGGCGGACGTACAGGAAGGTGATGCTTGCCAGCATCAATGGTCTCCAGGTGTTACGGCAGTGACGAAGCACCGTGACGAACCTAGCTTTTCCTGATTTGGCAGACGACACAATCACCTCCGGGTACGCAAACATGTACCATAAGACATGGTCAAACCACAACAATCCAGCTTCGCATCTTCGTGAGTTCTGATATCCACACTTGCACTTCAAGTACGGCCRGCCTATGTTCCAGAATTTCTTCAAGGCGCTGAGATCCCTGCTCACACCCTGAGGCATCGTTTTCTGCATGGCCACAGGCTTCGGGTACTTGCACTTCTCTGGATCCATGTCCTGTAGCGCCGGAAACGCTAGTCGCCCGCCCTTGTGGGGAGATTTCTTTGGTCCTCCGTACACGAACACCCCTTCCAAGGCATTATTATAACAGTTCTCAAAATCACTCTTCTTCCCGCCCGCCAGGAACTTGTACGCCTTGATGCCAATAGGAGCAAGGTGATTGAAAGATTCCAATCTCCATACCCTGTGTTGTAGTGGTATCGTCATCTCCTCAACCCAGTGAGAGCCTGCAAGCGGGAGAAAGGCATGTCTCTCGTAATCACGCTGYGTGGGCCTCCTGTGTCGCCCCGTAAGGTCTGCGTCAGGTGCAGTGAGAAAGTCCACCTCTATTCTCTCCTCTTCATCGAGGTTGAAAACGTCCAGCATCGAGGCACCTCCGTCTGTTTCCTCCGTGTTGTATCGCGCCATAAACCAATCGAGATGAGTCGTGCCCAATCCCCAAGGCCTTCAACCATGCATTCTCTGCTTCCGAAGTTTTAAGCTCAATGGTCCGATCCTCCTCATCATCCTTCCTCGCCACCTTCTGTGCATCACCCGCATAACGTTCGATTAATGCTACCAAACCCCCCCCTCTCGTTCTCAAAACTCCATGCCAGCTCAGCCCACTCATTAAATCTCCTCACCTTCGTGAGGTGGGGAAACCTTCCAGACCCCGCCAACACCCCAACTGCCTCCAAGATGTCCCTATTGAGAGTAGAGACAAGCGCTTTAGTAGGCCTGGATGGAGGAGGGTATGCTCGAAGCCATTCGAACTTGGCTAGCGTTGCTTCCCACCATGCATCAGGGGTGAGATCGGGATCACTGCCTTCCGATTCCTCTTCTGGTTCTGGCGTCGCAGGCAACTGCAAGGACGCGAAAAAATACCAAGAAAAGAAATGCGCATGGACAAGGAAAAAAAAAAAAAAAAAAGAGGGAAAGCACAGCATGGCAGCGTTTCAAGAAGGCATTTCACAGGTGGACACAACATCGAAACAATATTCGATTATACGGGTGAGCGAATCAGAAATGATGAGTCGGGGAATGACGAAGAAAGAGAGGTGAGCCAAAAAACAGTAGGAATGGCTGCAGTACCAGGGTGAAGGGGGAGCGACCCCATCATAGCTCCCGGGAATCATACCCTTGAGATAAAAAACAATCATAGCATACTCCGCTATGGCTCCACACAAGCGGCCTGGTCCACCATCCATTATCTACTCACGGCATCTCATTTCCCCATACGTCATTCARAACAAAAGCGAGACTCACACCCCTATATTTCTCGCAAGCATCCCAATACACCACAAAGCGTCCCTATGCCATCTTTTCTGCAAACCGTGGTAACTCCCTCAAAACCAAGGGAAAAGAAACAGCTTATTCAAAGAAATTGTTGGGAGCACTCATTTTCAAAACGAAAGCACAATTAACACATTTTTTCAACGAGACACGTTCACAGGGTAGCCCGTTCGAAAAATAGGTCTCCGACCGTCAGGGGTTGAGTCGCTTATGCATTTGAATGATGGGATTATCAGGGGGGGCAGGGAATCGACACTACCCTAGCTCCGCGGACACAATCCTACGAATTTTTCCAAAGATTTTTTCATTATCACTAACTAGAGCGAATGGAGCTAAGGCTCCATTATCACGGCCTGATCCATGAATTCCCAGAACCCAACGCTTCCTGGTTCGAAGTATGTATTGTTTGAACATGCCAATCGTACCCATTTTTTGCAAGAACGTATCAAGCGAAGGTATAATAATGTTTTTATTTCGAAAAGAGACTATTAAGACATAATAGTCATGAATCCAGATGCCATAAATTCGAAATAATAAGGAAGATCGTGAGAGGGGAGTGAAAACTTTTGAAAGTTCCAAGAGTCATTAATCCAGGGTTCCAGGGATTCGACCCTAGAAAAGCACCCTGGGGAAAACCCCGTGTGTGTGTTATGTGTTGTACTCATAGCATACTATGCTATGGCTCCGCAAGAGACGGYCTGGTAGGCTGTTGGATCAACTTTAATCACCGCAACCCGGAAAACAACCGCATCACATAATAGTAACATGGCATTGGCATTTTAATCATAACACACGATGGCAATTTTTTCATGCATACTTGAGAGGATAAGCGAAAGTGGAAAAACGAGACGGTAAAAAAGGGGGGGAAAAAGGGAGGAAAAATCCAGACATTGATCGTGATATTATGCAAATCACTGGGCGAAAAACAAGGGTACCCCCGAAAAGATTCGCTTCAACCCATCCCTTCATCCGCCAATCTCTATGAAATGCTCAAACATCTTCAGAAGTTCTGCTATTAAGGAAGCACGCCCCCTACTGCAAATTCCTCGATCCCGACCCCCTCCCCCTCGAGCTACGCATACATCCGCCTTTTCCGAATCCAAAGATGCCAGCAAAGCCAAATATGCCACAAGTATAGCAACAAAGGAAGTAATTGCACAGATTGCGATATCCGAATCCATGATGCAATCCCTCGAGCTTCAAATGACTGCACCCGAAATATACTTGTCTATCATTGTAGACCCGAAAAATTTACAGGCGCAACTCCTTCTGCAACCCGCGCTTCAGGAAGGTAAACGTGATTCTTTGTGAATACCAGCAGGCACTGTTACTCCTTCACCCCCTCTCCCCCTCCTATCTTACTCTGCCGCCTATCGTAGTTCCATCGCCCGAGCTCCCCTTATCTATCGCAGGCCATCCATCTCAATCCTGCCGATATGGACCCCCTTATCGTAGTATCCTCACCCAATTTTYACTTTTTAGCCAATTCCGCCACCACAGCCTACCCCCTCTTATCTTACCCCGCCACCTATCGCATCGCCCGAACTCCCTTATTCCTTGTAGGTCCTCCGACTCAATCTTGCCGATCCGAACTCCTCTTCCGTAGCATCATCGCCCGAACTCCGTCCATAGCCAATCCCGCCTCCACA